ATCCTCAATCCCAAAATCCTAAATCCCCAATCCCAAAATCCTAAATCCTAGCATCCCAAAATCCTAAATCCTAAATCCCAAAATCCTAAATCTCTAAACCCAAAATCCTAAATCCTAGCATCCTCAAATCCTCAACCTTCCCCTGGCCCGGCAAGGCCTCGGGGCCTTTTGGCGAGGGTGCCGGCCCCAGAGACTTCTGAGGGTTTCATAGGGCCTTCGGGTTTAGGGTTTAGGGTTTAGGGTTTAGGGTTCCTATAAGGGTTTAGGGTTTAGGGTTCAGGGCCTTAGGGGTCCTGTAAGGGTACTTTAAGGGAACCATAAGGGCTCTTTAAGGGTCCGATGAGAGTACTTTAAGGGCACTTAAAGGGTACCATAAGGGTTCGATAAGGGACTTTAAGGGTACCATAAGGGTTCTATAAGGGCACTACAAGGGTCCTACAAGGGTATGTACTTTAAGGGTTCTATAAGCGTACTATAAGGGTACTATTAGGGTCCTACAAGGGTACTAGAAGCGCACTGTTTGGGTTCTGCAGGGGTTTCAATAGGCGCTCTGTAAGGGTTCTATAGAGGCTTCTTTTACAGGGTTTGTTGTGGTTGAAAAGCAGGCACACGGAGTGGAAGGTACTCTCTGAACAACCCGTGGCAGCACCTGCGATTGCCAAAAGTAGCATGCAGGTTTATTCAGAAGGGGATCCTGGTTTCGTGCAGGCCCCGAAGGCTCAGCACGAAGAGGCTCCTCAGCCTCAAAGCCCAAACGCTTAACTCCTCAAGCCCTGGCTTTACCGAAGCAGTCCATTCGGAATACTTAGCAGTAAGTTTCCTTGTCTTAGCTGTATGACTACACTATAAACAGGTAGCCCAAAACACTAGTCCATTCAAAAACGTCCCTAGATTAGAATGCCGCGCCCATTAGTGGATTACCTTTTTTGGTTCAGGCTTTAGGGTTTTGTGATCTCTGGCGCAGGGTTTTTGCGCTGTATTTTAGCCGTCAATGTCACATTCGCTAGCGCGACCTACTTCGAGCCCGAAAGCTCGGGAAACCCTAAACCCTAAACCCTAAACCCTCTCGATCACCCACTCTCTCGGTTTAGGGCCTCGGACCCTACACCTAGACGCCCCAGACCCCAAGGACCCAAACCATATCTCCTCATAGTCGCCATTGTAGTAGCCTTTGCAGTAACCCTTGTAGTACTTTGTACCGTAACCATGATAGGAACCCTCATCGTAACCATGATAGGAACCCTCATCGTAAGCATTACAGGAACCCTCATCGTAGGTGCCAAAGCCCTTCTAGTAGCCCTTACAGTAATCTTATCACAACTCCTAAACTCCTAAACTCCTAAACTCCTAAACTCCTAAACCCTAAACTCCTAAACCCTAAACTGCTAAACCCTAAACTCCTAAAGCCTAAACCCTAAACCCTAAACTCCTAAACCCCTAAAGCCCCTTGAGGCTGCGCGTGAACATGGTGCTCTGCTTCAACCCAGGGCTGACCTTCACCGCCCGAGACTCAGAGCCTGGCTTCTGGATTTGGGGTTTTGGCTTGAGGCTTTCGGCTTTACAGTAGGGTCTAGGATTTGGGTTTTAGGGTTGAGGCTTTCGGCTTTACAGTAGGGTTTAGGGTTTAGGCTTGAGGCTTTCGGCTTTACAGTACTGTAGGGATTTTGGGGGTTTTGGGGGTTTAGGGTTTAGGGGTTCAGGGTTTAGGGGTTTAGGTGTTTTGGGGTTTAGGGATTGTCTAAATTTTCAGGGACGTCGCCGTCTCCTGTTCGTTGATGCTTCCCCATCTGTATATTCGTGCAGCTGGGACCGGGAGTCTTTCCTGGTTGTCGGTTTTTGCCAGCGCGACGAAAGTCAAGGGTTCACGGCCTGGGGTGGCCCCTAAACTCTAAACCCTAAACCCTAAACTCTAAACCCTAAGCCCTAAACCCTCAACCCCAAACCCTAAACCCTATAGGGTTTAGGGTTTGAACGTAGCAGGCCTATGTTTCGCCCAGACCCTCACTCCTCACAGTCAAGGCCAGGAGCCCTAAACCCTGAAGCCTAAACCCTAAACCCTACCTCCGGAAGCCAAGTCCAAACGCTGAACCCCTCATATAGGGGCCTAAATAACTACCTACACTATTTTGGGGCTTCCTTATTATAAGTATAGTATAGAGGAGCCCAAAACCCTATTCTAATTATTGAGGCTTCTACACTAACCCACAAGCCTGAAGACTTGAACCCCGAACAATAAACCTCACCCCTGCCCAAACAGCCCTGTGGTCTGAGCTTCTAATGCTCCAACTCCCGACTCTAGACCAAAGCCCAAGTCCAGCAAAAAAGGACGGCCGTAGTTCTCTCGACCACTCTTGCGCCGTTTTGTTTCGAATAAATCTCCCGTAAGCCCGACACTCTCAACCCTAAACTAAACCCTAAACCCTAAACCCTAAACCCTAAGCCCTAAACCCTAGTAATCCCTTAAGGGATCCTGGAAGAACCGAAGCCCTGAACTCCAGGCCCTCGCACGGATCAAGGTCGCTGTTCTGTCTATACAGCAGAGGCGGCCTCATGATTCGGTTGAGGGTTGAGGGTGTAGCTTACGGTGTAGGGTTGTTTAGGGTTTAGTGTTTAGGGTTGTTTAGGGTTTGGGTTGTTTAGGGTTTAGGGTTTAGGGTTTAGGGCCATTTCCGAGTCTTCACACTGGCGGCTGACTTCTTGTTACCAGCCCTGAACCTCACCATCAGAAACGAAACTCAAGGATTTCTATAGACTCAAGACATATTCCTTCTCGACCCTTCCGGTTTCTCCAATTACTCCTACCCTAAACCTCAAGCCCTAAACCCTAAACCCTAACTCTGCTGATAAGCAGCAGGGAGATCGTTGAAGGGTCCGTCAGCTGTATCCTGTTCCATGGGATTATCGAATTGAGATGAAGCGATGCGCTCCTGTTTTCTTGAGCCCAAGTTTCGGTCCGACTTCAGTTCACTCACAGCATCTGTGCACATGTGAGTCAGATGACAACAGCCACTGCGCGAACTGATCTTCTGCACTCCTCCTCGTCTCTTGACATAAGCCTAGAGACGCCTTTACATGGAGCATCACGTTCGGCAGTACACTAATCGTCTACTGGAGGTACAAGAACATAGAGACCGCGAGCCCTATCACAGTAGTCGCACAAGTCGTACCTCTTTGATGCCCTTGTAGCATTCCTTTGCCCATGGCAATACGATGCCATGTGAATCTTGTCGCCATGCGTAGTGATATAAAAGGGCCCCGTATAGCTGGACAACCTGTTGACTGGAATCATGGGAACTCCTGGGTCCGTCTGCACCCCCACATCGAAGCTTGTTGTTTGTCCATCCATAGATCGCCTCGACGTAGACAAAGAACCCTGCCTCCTCAAGCGGCTTGTTGACGTTGGTGGCGTCATAGATGCCGTTGTCAGTTCCATTTCCCGACGTCGCAACTCCTCCTGAACCGAAGATCCCTGCCTCCTCGAGCGGTTCGTTGAAGTTGGTGGTGTCATGGGCGTCGTCATTAGTTCATCTTCACGACGTCGCAGCTCCTCCTGAACTGCATCTCGTGTCCTGCTCCTCAGCCTCTCAGTGCGCATCTGCCTGCGCTGTCTGGCATTCCACCAGGACCACGTCTTGTTCAGAACTTTCTTGGCGAACTCCCACAAACCAACTGCCGCAATCAAAGTGATCACTGCTACCACGTAGAACTCGACCGAAGCATCTAAAGATAGAGCCTCTTTATCTCCTTGAACGCCTTTGACCAAGCATAAACACATCACCACGAAGAACAGCAGGCCATTGTGATTTGTCACCCTCAAAGCCCTCAAAGCTGCATTTGTCGCTTCCCTGGCTGCGCACGGAACAATCTGCCACAAGTC